TCGACCTTTCTCCTGGAAAATTGGTTCAATTAATAAAGCCGAATATTTTTTCGGATATTCGGGAAGCTTTCAGCTTTAACGTACTACAATTTCATAAGAATAGAGCCCAGGATAACGGAGTTACCGCATTTTTTGAATCCTATAGACACACTGAGTGGATATTTCTGTTGTTATGACTTCTTCTTCCACTTTCGTCCTTTCTCTCAAAAAATTAGTTCACTGAATAAAGCCTAATATTTTTTTGTATATTTGGGAAGCTTTTAGCTCTAAGATACTATAATTTTATAGAAATAGAGCCCAAGATAACGGAGTTACAATTTTTTGAATCTTATGGACACGCTGACGTGATCTTGCTATATGATTCCTACCTCCACTCTCGACCTTTCTCCCTGAAAATTGGTTCAGGAAATAAGGCCGAATATTTTTTTGTATATTCCGGAAGCTTTTAGCTTTAACATACTACAATTTCATAAAAATAGAGCCTAGAATAACGGAGTTACGATTTTTTGAATCTTATAGACACATTAAGTGGTTCTTTCTGTCATGACTTCTACCTCCACTTTCGACCTTTCTCCTGGAAAATTGGTTCAATTAATAAAGCCGAATATTTTTTCGGATATTCGGGAAGCTTTCAGCTTTAACGTACTACAATTTCATAAGAATAGAGCCCAGGATAACGGAGTTACCGCATTTTTTGAATCCTATAGACACACTGAGTGGATATTTCTGTTGTTATGACTTCTTCTTCCACTTTCGTCCTTTCTCTCAAAAAATTAGTTCACTGAATAAAGCCTAATATTTTTTTGTATATTTGGGAAGCTTTTAGCTCTAAGATACTATAATTTTATAGAAATAGAGCCCAAGATAACGGAGTTACAATTTTTTGAATCTTATGGACACGCTGACGTGATCTTGCTATATGATTCCTACCTCCACTCTCGACCTTTCTCCCTGAAAATTGGTTCAGGAAATAAGGCCGAATATTTTTTTGTATATTCCGGAAGCTTTTAGCTTTAACATACTACAATTTCATAAAAATAGAGCCTAGAATAACGGAGTTACGATTTTTTGAATCTTATAGACACATTAAGTGGTTCTTTCTGTCATGACTTCTACCTCCACTTTCGACCTTTCTCCTGGAAAATTGGTTCAATTAATAAAGCCGAATATTTTTTCGGATATTCGGGAAGCTTTCAGCTTTAACGTACTACAATTTCATAAGAATAGAACCCAGGATAACGGAGTTACCGCATTTTTTGAATCCTATAGACACACTGAGTGGATATTTCTGTTGTTATGACTTCTTCTTCCACTTTCGTCCTTTCTCTCAAAAAATTAGTTCACTGAATAAAGCCTAATATTTTTTTGTATATTTGGGAAGCTTTTAGCTCTAAGATACTATAATTTTATAGAAATAGAGCCCAAGATAACGGAGTTACAATTTTTTGAATCTTATGGACACACCGACGAGATCTTGCTATATGATTTCTACCTCCACTCTCGACTTTTCTATCTGAAAATTGGTTCAGGAAATAAGGCCGAATATTTTTTTGTATATTCCGGAAGCTTTTAGCTTTAACATACTACAATTTCATAAAAATAGAGCCTAGAATAACGGAGTTATGATTTTTTGAATCTTATAGACACATTAAGTGGATCTTTCTGTCATGACTTCTACTTCCACTTTCGACCTTTCTTCTAGAAAATTGGTTCAATTAATAAAGCCGAATATTTTTTTGGATATTCGGGAAGCTTTCAGCTCTAACGTACTACAATTTCATAAGAATAGAGCCTAGGATAACGGAGTTACCGCATTTTTTGAATCCTATAGACACACTGAGTGGATATTTCTGTTGTTATGACTTCTTCTTCCACTTTCGTCCTTTCTCTCAAAAAATTAGTTCACTGAATAAAGCCTAATATTTTTTTGTATATTTGGGAAGCTTTTAGCTCTAAGATACTATAATTTTATAGAAATAGAGCCCAAGATAACGGAGTTACAATTTTTTGAATCTTATGGACACACCGACGAGATCTTGCTATATGATTTCTACCTCCACTCTCGACTTTTCTATCTGAAAATTGGTTCAGGAAATAAGGCCGAATATTTTTTTGTATATTCCGGAAGCTTTTAGCTTTAACATACTACAATTTCATAAAAATAGAGCCTAGAATAACGGAGTTATGATTTTTTGAATCTTATAGACACATTAAGTGGATCTTTCTGTCATGACTTCTACTTCCACTTTCGACCTTTCTTCTAGAAAATTGGTTCAATTAATAAAGCCGAATATTTTTTTGGATATTCGGGAAGCTTTCAGCTCTAACGTACTACAATTTCATAAGAATAGAGCCCAGGATAACGGAGTTACCGCATTTTTTGAATCCTATAGACACACTGAGTGGATATTTCTGTTGTTATGACTTCTTCTTCCACTTTCGTCCTTTCTCTCAAAAAATTAGTTCACTGAATAAAGCCTAATATTTTTTTGTATATTTGGGAAGCTTTTAGCTCTAAGATACTATAATTTTATAGAAATAGAGCCCAAGATAACGGAGTTACAATTTTTTGAATCTTATGGACACACCGACGAGATCTTGCTATATGATTTCTACCTCCACTCTCGACTTTTCTATCTGAAAATTGGTTCAGGAAATAAGGCCGAATATTTTTTTGTATATTCCGGAAGCTTTTAGCTTTAACATACTACAATTTCATAAAAATAGAGCCTAGAATAACGGAGTTATGATTTTTTGAATCTTATAGACACATTAAGTGGATCTTTCTGTCATGACTTCTACTTCCACTTTCGACCTTTCTTCTAGAAAATTGGTTCAATTAATAAAGCCGAATATTTTTTTGGATATTCGGGAAGCTTTCAGCTCTAACGTACTACAATTTCATAAGAATAGAGCCCAGGATAACGGAGTTACCGCATTTTTTGAATCCTATAGACACACTGAGTGGATATTTCTGTTGTTATGACTTCTTCTTCCACTTTCGTCCTTTCTCTCAAAAAATTAGTTCACTGAATAAAGCCTAATATTTTTTTGTATATTTGGGAAGCTTTTAGCTCTAAGATACTATAATTTTATAGAAATAGAGCCCAAGATAACGGAGTTACAATTTTTTGAATCTTATGGACACACCGACGAGATCTTGCTATATGATTTCTACCTCCACTCTCGACTTTTCTATCTGAAAATTGGTTCAGGAAATAAGGCCGAATATTTTTTTGTATATTCCGGAAGCTTTTAGCTTTAACATACTACAATTTCATAAAAATAGAGCCTAGAATAACGGAGTTATGATTTTTTGAATCTTATAGACACATTAAGTGGATCTTTCTGTCATGACTTCTACTTCCACTTTCGACCTTTCTTCTAGAAAATTGGTTCAATTAATAAAGCCGAATATTTTTTTGGATATTCGGGAAGCTTTCAGCTCTAACGTACTATAATTTCATAAGAATAGAGCCCAGGATAACGGAGTTACCGCATTTTTTGAATCCTATAGACACACTGAGTGGATATTTCTGTTGTTATGACTTCTTCTTCCACTTTCGTCCTTTCTCTCAAAAAATTAGTTCACTGAATAAAGCCTAATATTTTTTTGTATATTTGGGAAGCTTTTAGCTCTAAGATACTATAATTTTATAGAAATAGAGCCCAAGATAACGGAGTTACAATTTTTTGAATCTTATGGACACACCGACGAGATCTTGCTATATGATTTCTACCTCCACTCTCGACTTTTCTATCTGAAAATTGGTTCAGGAAATAAGGCCGAATATTTTTTTGTATATTCCGGAAGCTTTTAGCTTTAACATACTACAATTTCATAAAAATAGAGCCTAGAATAACGGAGTTATGATTTTTTGAATCTTATAGACACATTAAGTGGTTCTTTCTGTCATGACTTCTACCTCCACTTTCGACCTTTCTCCTGGAAAATTGGTTCAATTAATAAAGCCGAATATTTTTTCGGATATTCGGGAAGCTTTCAGCTTTAACGTACTACAATTTCATAAGAATAGAGCCCAGGATAACGGAGTTACCGCATTTTTTGAGTCCTATAGACACACTGAGTGGATATTTCTGTTGTTATGACTTCTTCTTCCACTTTCGTCCTTTCTCTCAAAAAATTAGTTCACTGAATAAAGCCTAATATTTTTTTGTATATTTGGGAAGCTTTTAGCTCTAACATACTATAATTTTATAGAAATAGAGCCCAAGACAACGGAGTTACAATTTTTTGAATCTTATGGACACGCTGACGTGATCTTGCTATATGATTCCTACCTCCACTCTCGACCTTTCTCCCTGAAAATTGGTTCAGGAAATAAGGCCGAATATTTTTTTGTATATTCCGGAAGCTTTTAGCTTTAACATACTACAATTTCATAAAAATAGAGCCTAGAATAACGGAGTAACGATTTTTTGAATCTTATAGACACATTAAGTGGATCTCTCTGTCATGACTTCTACCTCCACTTTCGACCTTTCTCCTGGAAAATTGGTTCAATTAATAAAGCCGAATATTTTTTTTGCATATTAGGAAAGCTTTTAGCTCTAACATATTACAATTTCATAACAATAGAGCCCAGGACAACGTCGTTACGATTTTTTGAATCTCATTGACACACTAAGTGAATCTTTCTTAGAGGCTTCTACCTCAATTTTTGACCTTACTCCTAGAAAATTAGTTCACTAAATAGCGCCGAATATTTTGTTGTATATTCGAGAAGTTTTTAGCTCTAACATACTATACAATTTCATAAGAATAGAGCCCAGGACAAAGGAGTTACGATTATTTGAATCTGATTGACACACTGAGTGAATCTTTCTACAAGGCTTCTTACTCCATTTTTGACCTTTCTCCTAGAAAATCAGTTCACTAAATAGAGCCGAATATTTTTTAGTATATTCGGAAAACTTTTAGCTCTAAGATACTATAATATAAATATAAACTAATAGTAAATATAGTTCTGAAAAATTAGGTGTCCTCATCTGTCAAGCCGGCTGCGTCCTAGAAAACCTGGACACCGCCCTAGCAGAACGCGGTCTCATGATGCCCTTGGACCTCGGAGCCAAAGGCTCCTGTCATTTAGGAGGCAACGTTTCGACTAACGCCGGAGGCCTGAGACTCCTCAGGTACGGAAATTTGCACGGGAGCGTTCTAGGATTAGAAGCAGTAAGAATCCAATCATAAGAGTTCTTTCACTAATTTTTGAAATTGGATAAAGCAACTGAAGATAGAAGTTTCTGCATTCTCACTTTTGAAAAAGTTGGAGTTTTTGTTGAGAAAATAAATGAATAAAAACACGGAATTTATCCGCACTACGTCACAACTTGAACTTTGACAGTGTTGCCACTGAAAATTTGTTAGTAACTATTCAAATTTTGGTGAAAGAGTCTATTTTTGTGTTAAAATATTGTTATTTTATAGAGATTTTTCTATAGGTGAAAGCCGATGGTCAAATTGTAGATCTTCTGAGCACCCTCAAAAAAGACAATACAGGTTTCCATCTGAAACATCTCTTCATAGGCTCAGAAGGTGCTCTTGGAATCGTCACCAAAATCGCAATCCAATGCCCCGCTAAACCCAAAGCAGTAAATCTAGCCTTCTTAGGCCTTAACTCCTTCGAAAACATCCTCAAAGTACTCACACAAGCCAAAAGAGACTTAGGGGAGGTTCTAGCTTCTTGCGAAATGATTGACGAAAGCACCCTTGAAGTTTGTACAGACAATTTGAAGCTGAAATCCCCAATTTCGAATTTTCCTTTTTACATGCTGATTGAAACTCACGGCAGCAATAATGAGCATGACCAGGAAAAGTTGAATGGATTTTTGGAGGATGTTATGGGGAATGGGTTGGTGCTAGATGGCACTGTTACCAACGAACCCAGCAAAATGAAGGTAAGAATTTTGTTGTAGTTATATAATAATTTTAAAAATCTCTCTAAATTTGCAGAACATTTGGGATCTAAGAGAAAGAATCACCGAAGGCTTCATCCAAGACGGCTACGTCTTCAAATACGACGTCTCCCTACCAATAGAAAACTTCTACTCTCTAGTACCAGAAATGCGACAAAGATTGGCCAACGATGAAGAAGTAGTCCGGATATCCGGCTACGGACACTTGGGCGACGGCAATGTCCACTTCCAAGTATCCTGCAGGCAATTTTCTCAAAACATTTTGAACAAAATCGAGCCGTTTGTGTACGAATTCACTTCGAAACTGCGAGGCAGTATTAGTGCCGAGCACGGAATCGGATTTAGGAAGCCCAAATATGTACATTATTCGAAAAGTGCTGAGAGTATTGTCATAATGAAACAGCTGAAGGAGATGTTTGATCCTAATGGGATATTGAATCCTTATAAAGTGATACCGAATTGATATTCTGATAATTATTGACAAAGATAACATGTTCGAAAATTGGTTTATGGTAAAATTTATTATTCTCGGTTGGTTGTGTGTGGCATCTTTATACATATTATTAAGTTTATCTATAATTTCAGATTTCTCTATATGTATATTAAATATATTTTTCGACTGTTTTTTCTAACTTCCTTAATCCTTATACCATACCTATGTTCTCGAAAACTGGCAACTTATTTCATTTACGATTTTATTTCTGGAACTATAAGTCCAGCTGAGCAGGGATTGTAGTCCTCTATTGGGATAAGAATCGCTGAAAAATTCAGCTTTCTATTTATAATGGAAAAAAAGTTATGACCTTTCAAAGTTTTCCAAAATCCAAATCATAAGGTTAGCTACCTCCATAAGTAGTACTAAAATGATAAAATTTCAAATTTTATTTGTTGAGAATTTATGTCTTAATGGTCATTCGTAAAAACTCAAAACAATTCGACCAGGAACCAATAAAGTTCTACATCAACAAGAATCAGGGTATAATAATAATATTATAAAACATGAACATTGAGCGGCATTAAAATCAACCAACACCTGATATAGAGCTAAAACTCACCGATTTTGATTAATCTTTTCACTTCCCTCGATAGCATCTGGCCGAAACGTCCATTAGCTGCACAGTTCCTGGAAACAAAATTAACTCTATTGAACATTGAAATTCTGGATCCAATTGACAAGATGAAGACACGTTCTATCTACTGCCATATGATCTCAAGAAATACCAAAAATCTTTGAAAACAGATTAGAGCCGCTATGTGACTTACTATACAGGGTGATGTTTGTAGCATGTGTATTAATTTACAGGTGGATTATATATAATATACTGATAGGTACTAATCCACCTCCAAATGGAATACTTCTAATGCACAAGCTACGAAAATTATTATTATCTAATTCACCTGCAAGTTAATGCACAGGCTACAATACATCACCCAGTATATAGCATCTAATACATACGTTACGTAAATCACTCTGTATAAATTTGAAACTGTTTACATACTCAGGAAAATAACGAGAATGCTTTTATAGGGTGTTGTTGCACCTGTCATCACATGATTTGCTCTTTTTGTTCACATCCATATTCTTTACATCAATACATTATTAATTTATAAAACCACTGATAATGAAGAGGACAAAAACACAAAATTATTCTGAGATTTGGAGCTAGATTCTATGAAAAAATGCACTTAGAAAAATTGAATTGCAGTACTTTTTTCGGTAAGCGAGAAACTTTTTTGTTTTAAGGAATTTTGCCCTACTATCTGCGTATGAATTATTTTCACTGGCAACTATTGAACTATTCCAGTTTCAAATTGTGCTGGCGGCTTTGAAATCCCAAATCATGTATATTATTCTATAATAAAAAATAAAGTGCCACAAAGTTTGGATACATTAAATAGCAATCAAGAAGAAGCAGGTACTAGAATAATGTTGCATCTCTTGGCTGAACGAGATAATTCTGACACAATACTCGTTAAATTCGTAGATAACTGATGTTCTTATTCTACTTCTGTATTACTTCACTAGTTCGGAAAAATTGAGTAATTCCGAATTCCCAAATATTTATGAAACTAGGACATTAGCCAAAACAAACACTTTATCATTATTAGTAGGTACCTACCTACCAAATCTAGGAGAAAATATTTCCAAAAATTTAATATTTATTCATTGTCTAACTGGGAAGTGATACCACCGGCATCGATGCAATTTACAAAATTGGAAAAAGAACAACATAATATGTTGTTCTTTTTCCATGTCGTCATATTATGACGAAATCTTAGTAAAAAACATCGATAACTATTTTGAAAGAACTATGGAATATGCCATTTTTGGAAGAAGAAGAAGTGATTATGCTCTGTCAACATTAGGTATATGCCATGCTTTTATAAAAACAAGAATACCTACAAATATTACTACACTCAATGAATTGAGAGTTAAATTCACAACAACGACAAACGACAAATCTATCTGCAGCAGAACTTCCTCCAACAGATGATGGATTTAAACAGCATCATGTTAAGAGGTATTATATGAACATCCTCACTTTTTCTTAGTATTCAGTATTCAAGGCTTCTACGTTATTTAAGGTCATAAGAAGTAAGACGGTTGAATTGTATTTTGCATAGATGCACAAAAATTGGATTGGTTTTCTTTGCTTTTCCTAGCCATACTGATGAGACCTGATATAGGTCGAAACGCGTCTATGGATGGAAAAGCAAAGAAAATTAATCCAAAATTTTCTAATTATTTAAGGTCCATATATCAAATGAAAATTTGGTGACCTAATAAAAATTTGGTGTTCCAGTCATCTGCCAGAACAATCTTTTGGAGACGCAAAAGCTAGAAGACAATATTTGGACTCCAGACTCCAGTAAGCGACCGAATCTGATAGTAATGACTATTGATTTCTTGTTTAGTTTAGAATTGTTAGATCATCATACTTTTTTCAAACTCTATTATCGTTTTACTTGATTAATTAGTTTACGTTACTTTTTAACAGACCTAACTTTTATAGTGGTGAAAAAGTGTAGGTATGTCGAGCCTTAGTTTCAATTCATATAAGCGACTTTTTCCTTGGTTTTTACTCCACCATTCCCGAGGGTTCGGCCAGAACTGTAAAAATACCGAGAAAAATACCATGTAATTTCATAGCAATTGTCGAAATACCTAAAATGACTTTACTATACTTTCAAAATAGCTCTACAGTACTAACAATACCAAAAATCCATCAAAAATACTTAATATTATCTGTACAGTACCCGCCGACAATACTGACAATCCCGTGACAATAAGTAAAGGAATCAAAATTAGTTCTGAATTGAACTGCGCTTTTCAATTCAGGAGTGATACTGAACTAAGTCCGAACAAACATGAAGGGTGAGAAATGCAGATAGGTATGTCATAACATGCCCCTTCAATATTAAATTTGACGTGTCCGGCCGTTTTTCGCTAGAAAATTTATATTTTTAAAGATTTTCAGGGTGAACTGTTTTCCCTGGGACACCCTATAATCAATTTGAAGTCACATGTGAAAAAATCTGTCGCATTTGCGATGTCATTTCTGAACTCGCCATGTGATGTCGTTTTTAATCTGACACTTTTCGTATGAGGAGCGAGGAGATGTTTCATATGGGAAAAACAGGTGTGACGTCAGGTAACCATTGGCGTTCTAAGGTAGGGAGCCAACAACTCACATTCCTTTGGAGTATCAGATGAAAATCGACAAAAAACAGACATTATGTTGAACGATTTTGTTATTTTGCAGCTTCCTGTACGTACAGGGTGTCCCATTTTGGTTGTGCATAAGACCGAAGACACAATAACAAATACAAGGTACAAGTGACAAGAGACAAAAATATAATAACATGTGTATCAATGCTATAACATAACCATAACCCAGAATAAATGGATACAAGATACAATTTACATGCCACACCAAAATTTGAAAAAAAAATCGATTTTTTGGTATTTTATTTCTGTCACTTGTACATTGTATTTGTCATCAATGTCATTGTGTCTTCAGCCGAGATATCTCTGCTAATGAAGTTAGAAGAATGCGGTTTTCGCGAACGTTGGTTACTTGTTTGTCGAATGAAAGATGGCGCCATCAGAATTGTCATCGCCCTTTCTGTTTTAGATACAAGGTGTTTTTGAAAATGTTGCAGTTGCATTTTGGACACCCCTTGTATCACGGTTTTCCTATAAGTGATCGAAAAGGTGACAATGGGTTCTTGTGGATATTTTTTTGTAGATTCCAGTGGCTTAGTCTTTTATTTAGAAGTGATGGTTTTTAAATTATGAACCAAACATATTGTCACAACTGCCCGCTTTACGGGGGTGACATGGGGGGTTTGTAGCTTTGGGAGTTGATGGAGAGAAACTCGCTCAAGTTATATAAAAAGGTAGATATATATTTTCCAAATATACCCTTACATGTACGCTAATCCTATAAGATGCATGACCCTTCGAACACTTGGGTCCTTATAAGGAGCCACACGTTAACGCTGCTTGGGGGATTGTAGATTAGTTATCGTCACCCTTATGCCTTGTCCAGAGGGGCTTTCCCAAAGAGAGGTACTTGCACTGGTTTAAGTCTGCCTTTGCTGCGGCTTGCAGCGTAATTTATATCAATTTATCGCTGAATTGCAATGATCGAATCGGCAATTAAATTAATAAGGTTGAATACCGGGTCCTCCTTTCCTAAGCAGCTAGTTGACAATATTTTTTTTTTTTCAAATGAGACACCCTATACAGGGTGTATATTTTAAGTGATACCACTACTGCTATATCCGAAACGGTAAGAGCTACAAAGTCGGTTAAATTAGGAAAAGTTGCTTTTTTGATGCCCATTCAAGACTCAATCACAGTGTTGCCAAATTCCTTTTAGTTTATGAAATACAGGGTGATTTCCAAGAAACGCCTAAAAATATTTCATCAATTATTCCGAAAACTATTGATTTTAGAGACACAATTCAAATATGAAAGTTTTTTAATCTTTTTCGCTCTACAAAGAGCAAAGAGGCATCTAAAAATTTTTTATCCGACGTTTCTTGATCGAGCTACCATCGTAAACTTAATTTTTTTATATACGGACCTAGGTTTTTTATGTCTTTTTTAGAAAGCGCCCTTTATTCCCTTTTTAACGATATACCTCTTAAGTATGATTGGCCGACGTTTCTGCTCTAAAAAGTAATCATCAGTGATTTTTACCGAAATAATTGATAAAATATTTTTAGGCGCTTCTCAGAAATCACTCTGTATTTCATAAACTAAAAGGAATTTGGCAACACTGTAAACGAGTCTTAGATGGACATCAAAAAAGACAACTTTGACAAAGGTAGAGCTATAGGTAGGTATCCAATAAGTTATTACTTAATATACCTAGTCTCTGAAAAAAAAAATGTTTGATTCATAATTTGAAAACAATCATTTTTAGAGAAAAACTCACTTTACCACTGGAATCA